GCACGTATATCACAATAATAAATAATGTAAAGGAGGTACGGTTACAGCATGGACATAAATCAATTATTCTGTCACGTTTCCTAATCACATCACAACATATTACCCACGTGTACACATCTTTCATTAGCCAAGGTGTAATATCCCGACTATTTATCAGTATAAATTATATTTTAGTTCTGATATTATTTATCGGAATTGAGTATTATCAGTTATTTCAGTCGCAATTACCGGAAATTATTTTCTACGTACCGTTTACGTTCGGAATAATTTTGGTAATTAAGCATTATGTTTAATTGAATAATTAAACATAGTTAAGGGATTAAGTATTAATTAATCCAAGCTTAATACTAATTGCCGTGCACATTGTATGCTATTGCCGTGTGCTCTAGGTGTATAAGTGCTAGTGATTCGGTCCAAATCTCATGTGCATTGCCGTGTGTATTTGTTGGTGCATTCGGTCCAAGAGTTTCCCTCCTTTCATGCTTAGAATGCCGTGCAATTTGTTGTGTAGCATGTAGGTGTATTCCTCCCAACATTGTCCTAAGAAGCCGTGCGTTTATTTGTCTAAGATTCCTCTTCCATATAGTCCAAATGCCGTGGGAGTTTGTGTGATGTATTTTGTGCATTTTGTCCAAGATTCTTCCCCATTGTCATGGAGACCGTGCGCCTTTGTCCCTTATGCCATGCACATGTTAATGTTTCGACCGAGCATCCCCTCTTCATTTTGTTGGCACACTCACGTGAATATATGAGGCAAGAAAGAGTTGCATGTGGGACAAATGTCCTAAGCCTTTGACCATTTCTCTCCCCCCACCCTTATACTCTTTCGGCCTTAGTTAAATGGGAGACCTTGGGAAAGTTTGTTCCATTTTTCTTCATGCCAAGTCCAAGATAGTGAGAGTTGTGAGATTTTTGTGAGGGTTGTTCGTGAGCTTTTGCCGAGAGTTCCCCGCAAGCCATCACGCGTCCGAACCTTTGCGCACACTCGGCAAGCAGTCAGCGCACCGGACGGTGGATCGTGCGCGAGCAGCGAGTATCGCACGCGTAGTAGCAGCTCACGCGGTAGTCCGAGGACACGCACACGCAACACACGCACGCGAAGGGTCACGACCGAGAGCACGAGAGTTCGAGAAGTTTAGTCCCTAGGGCTTAACAAGAGATAACTCCCGACGACTATTGACCGAGAGTAGCATGTTCATTAAGTTAAGTTTATTAGTAGCATGCATGCGAGTTATGAGTAGCCGTAGCCGTAGCCGTAGTCGTGCCAATTATTATCATGTTATAAGTTATATTCTCCGAGTATTCTCGCATATTTAGCTTTTATGTGCAATATCATGCTTAGATTAACTAAAATGTTCGGATGAATTTAGTCATGTTGGTGGAGTTTGGTCGAAGGGGTGTGGTCGCACACTTAGTGCGCACCACGGACCACCCGAGTGCTGTTGAATGTTAAGTTCGAACCTTTAATCATTATGTGTTATCATGTTCAGCAAGTCATGTTCAAGTTCAGTAAATTCGAAATTGCCGAGAGAATATGAGTATCGGTCGTTAAACGGC